CAAACTCATTTGTAACAGCAAAAGAAAGCTTACTTTCATAGAAATATTCTTAAATAACATTTGATTTTTTTTTCAGTTGCTTCACCAATTTTGCTAGAACCAAACGTTTCTCTATGTTTTAGATCATGTTCATGTAGGTGAATAAATCCCCTTTAAAAAAAGACAAAATAACATTCTTTTTCCTATCTCATATAAGGGATTTATTTTTTATTTTGTGGGAAGTAAGGGATGTGGGCTCCTGGCAGGCAGGGAATCAATTTGCTCACCAGTTATCAAAAGGTAAATTAGTTTTCCTATCTTATACCTCACACTTCAGACCCAAATTATTCATACCCATAGCAGATTGAAATTACCGCCATGTGTTGCTTTTTTCTTTATACTTGGAAGAATATACATTTATTATAAGGAGCAGTCCAGCCAGATTTACTGCTTGAATATGATAATTTGTGAAGGAGGCTAAATTAAGGCTATGGTAAGAAGGCCTTCAATCCAAAATTTAAAAACAGATTTACAGGGCCTTAAAGGAAATAAAAAAAAAATCTGTTAATTAATAATAAGTTCTTTACCTTGGTTTGGAAATAAAAGGCTTATATCAAATAAAAAACTTGACTTGTAGCTTATATTGTACATAAGAAAATTGTTTTAACTTAATATTTGAGGATAAATTCTGTAGGCATTTTAAGACAAAACAAAATGACATTAAATTGAAATATATCTAAACCAATCTTACTTTTTAGTAAGTACGTAATGTTTATTTATATAGCAACTTTCACAGGTAACACAAGGTAAACTGTACATAGGCATACAACAAAGACAAAAAAAATAATGCACAACGTTTTTTTAATATATATCATTTGCATCAACCTTAATTCAAACCTAAACCTCTTATTTTCTCTATTTTCTAAAGAAGCCAGTAGCAACTGAAAGTCATTTTAAAGGAAATGTGAATATTTGGTACCATTCTAAATCACCTAACCCCGTTTTTCTTTTCACGATAATAATCCAATGCATAAAAATAATTAAATTAATAAATAAATACCCCTCCTGAAATGTGACTAAAGTTTGAAAGATGAAAGCATGAACGAGTTTCAAAAAGCAAACATTCACCCGCATACACGTTCACTCAGGCCCGTGGCAGTAAACAGGTCATTCCGCTATGCTGAATACCATCTCTCCTAACAAAGGCACAAACCTTTACGGGAGAGGAATTCTGACCCACAGGCTTTCCATCTCAAACTTCTTTTTATTTCAGAGTAAACATGTTTACAGATCAGCATGCTTCACCTGGGATCACCAAGCTAATTAAATTAGAGTTGTTCTTGTGGGACTTTCAGGAGTGTCTGAATGTTACAAATCCCTCTGTATCGCAAGGAGACAAGGTATTTTAATACATGCAAACTATTTCTATATTCTCCCCATTTGCTATTTAATTAGTAGCTTCAACATGATTTAAATATAATAGAAATGGAAGAATTTGCCTGTAAGCAGGTGCATGTACCCATTTACACCTGAAGGAAGAAAGCCGGTGCATTTCACCTGCCTGAGACTTCAAGCTGTAATCAGTGTCTGTATGATGAATAGACATGGCCTGTAAAGCCATGTTTCAAACGACCAACTCATTAAAGGGTGTTAAGGTCTTACAGGTACAAAGAGGGGCGGGAGGAGCTTTGTAGTTTCAGGATGACAAGATGTTATATCACCCAAACTTATGGAGCTGCAATGAAAATAACTTCATGCAAGAAGTAAAAACAACCCAAAAGATTGAAAGATAAACGCTGTCACTGCATTTTATGAACAGGAGGCAGCATCCTATCTAATGCATCGTCTGATGCAATCAAAGGCACCGACAGTGGAGCTGATCAGTTCATGACAAGTTCCTGCAACTTTACCGTCAGGAAAAAACAAAACGGAAATGTTTTACCAGTTTCTTGCTTTGCTTTCAGGCATAAAAGGCATTTACTATGGGGGGGATTGTGCCAGCGAAGGGATGAGCTGACGTGTCAGTTAGCCGTCAAACTGTGACAGAAAGCTAACTTGATGAATAAAACCTGAGGAATCTACAAGCTTACTGCTGCTGGTGGTGGTGGTGGTGGTGGTGGTGGTGGTGGGGCTCACCCAGCAGCAGCTCTTCACTCCCCCTGATGGCTGCTGGATCACACAAGCACTTTTTAAAGCTGGTTGTTCGATTTAAAACCTAACTTTAATCCTTTATGGTCAGTTCATCAAACTTTACAATGGTTAAATATGATTGAACCCCACTGAACCAACAAAATGTACACATTTGATCCATAAGTGAAGGTTAAATTAAGCCAATTCCAGACACAGATATAAAAGATATTAACCCATCTTTGTTGGTGTATTGATCCTAACCTCTGCCTTTGATCAATGGAAACAGTGACAATTGATTCATCACATGATGTGCTCCTTGTTTTGAAATACAAAGGGACTAAAAAGTATTTCGTGCTAAAACAGTAGCTCACGCCCTCTGATGACTGACCTTTGTTTTTCCAAAGCTCCTGTTATAGTAACACAGCTGCTGACGTATCTGTCACTCCTTCGCACAAACACCTAAAGAGAACAGAAAGCATGTCATCGGAATTAGTCAGGATTACATGGCAGAAAATACCATCATTGAGTCATTGTAAATTTAAGAAAATAGGTAAAATGTCGCAGGTGAGCATGAGGGGAAATCATGTTTGTAATTTTACCGATGCATATTTAGTTTATTATTGAGAAGACAACAAGGCCAAATCCCAAAATTAGAATAAGGCCAATAAAAAAATAAAATAAAAATGAAGAAATAAAGACAGTCATCCTGTCGCCCTGGAGTTAATCTGGCATTCCAGGTTACTTTAATTGAATCTGGTCTGTCATCTTTCAAATACAACACAGATTCTCTCTATAGTTTTAATTAGACCAATTTTGAGTTTGTAGTTGTCAAATCCTACAGGACCTGAAAAAACACAAACACCAACAACAGCAGATTACATGGCAAACCATCACAACAGTGGAAACTTCCAACTGTAGCAAAAGGCAACGCCAAGCCTCTGCATGTTATTAACCTTAATTGGGTACAATTAAGTCAAATCAACCGTCTTCCCTTGCATTGTGCAGGGCATCTTTATTCAGATATATATCATCACTATTTTTTAATTTATAACTTTTAGAGTATAGGTTGTAAGTGTACAGCCATGGTGTAAGGCTAAGCACCAAAGCGGGTTGCTTCTTTAGTCATGAGTGTGATTAGACTACCGGTATCAGTAAATAAAATACAATTTTCCTCAAAGTGGGGGAAAAACAAAACATCGGTAGCAAGTCAGGGAAAATGTTTCACAATAATAAGATTAGGTAATCTGAATGACATCTATACATTTTGAAAGTGAGTTGAAAAAGCTTAAAATGTGTCTGTTCAAGTCTGCATTATTCTATTATTTTGACATTAACATAAAATGAACATGACAGACAGATTTAGTGTTATTTGTCAAACAAAACCAGACCCCCTGAGTACAGAGAACAGGCACACTGGATGCAGTGTATCGCACAAGGACACAAAGATCAAGACAGACATAGCGGGGGCTCAGACATGCAACCCACCGGTTACAGGACAACAGCTGCTCTGATGAAGATTCTATGTTGGCAGATGTGCAGCAGTCTTCTATTATAGCAGATGTGAAATGACACAATCTGAAAGTGATGTTTATCATTCAGTCTCCCACCATCTCCAATGCATTTAAGGGGCGTTTACCTGGCCTTCAGTGGTTAGATTATTTAGAGACCAGGTTCTTTCATTGGTTAATAAACTACTACTCCAAAGACTTCCAATATTATCCTCCACTACTCAGTTAACATGGCCAGATGTCCAAAAAATCTGCCAAATTACAAATGATGAGGGACAAGTTCTCAGTTTGTTGGAACACAAATGAGAGTGCAAACATAAACACACACCTGTATCCTTTAAACAATCAGTCCTTATTAAATGCAATTAAATTTTCAGGGTCTCAGGAAGGTTTAACCCATCCCACCAAATGACAAGAAGGAATCTAGAGCTCAAACTCCAAGGACTTCCCGTCAGACAAATAAGCTTCATCCTTTTTTTTTTTTTTTTTTGTATTGATTGATTTAGACAAATTTTAGCTCAGTAGTACAACCTAGTGGTGATTTTCAATACTACAGGAAATTAGTTTGTGTAAATTTCCTGAAAATCCATAAGCAGCTAATGTGAAATGCATTGCATTTGTTCCTAAAGCACATCCTTAAAAACACCACTGCATTTAATCCAGCCAAAAGATCATTATTCATGTCATATATATATATGTATATTTATATAAATATATAT